GAATGGCAAGACAAATGAAAATGTTACTGCTGATAAAATATGGTAAATTCTTATTACTCAGTAGAGGTTAATGTAAAATTAATTGTAAAGTATTTACTTTATATGTATTAACTTTGCTCTACAAGTCTTTTTAAGAACATTTTTAGGATTTCCTAAAAATGTTCTTAAAAAGACTTGTAGAGCAAAGTTATAGTCTGTCTTTTTTGAAGATGGAGTAAAATGTGTTTTGCGGGTTTGCCAGTTTTCGTAAAATTTTAAATAGTCATGTAATTGTTGTCGATAGTTTTATCGATAGTTTATAATTTTGCCAAAAAAGTCAGAATTGAAACTGTTACGACGTTCTAATATTAGTCATTACGTTATTGTATTCTTTATTCTTATTTTTTTTGACAATTAGTCTATTGGTATCGATACCAATTTTTAGTCATACACATTTTAATAACGAGAGGCGGATTTGATATGTCTATTAAATTCAAATGAAAATATCTAAAATATGTCTCCTATTTGTATTTTATATACACAAACGATGAAAATTAACGATTCAAAATTAACCTGTGCCCAGCTGTTGGACTAATAATGGGCCAATGATGATTAAAATTAAACAAATTCAGCTATTTATTTTATAAATGTAACCAACATTCAGTCGATAGTCCATGTAATATTTATCGATTGTAATCACTAGCTGTTTGCAAGCGAGCAACACTTTTACGCAGTAATTTTACTCCATCGTCAAAAAAGACAGACTATAGAAGAATAAGAGTGCGTGTTTGGAAGTATTGATGAATGTAAGTGAAGCAAGAGAAGTTTTCCAGGATCGCTCAGTGACGATGTCTTTGTCTTTGCCTAGCTCAATTAGAATCTAAAGGCATGACTGTATTGTCTGTATGTAAATGTTACCACCAAATCAATTCCTCAACGTATAACGAACTTGTGCGCGTTTAGATCCCGGAGGCGTGGGGCACGGTGAAGGTGACAGCACGCGGCGCTGGTTACGCCGTGCTGCAGATGTCCGTGCAGTACAACGTGGACATCGCCGCCTTCCAGACGGAACCGCCGCTGCGCTGCTTCTCGCTGCTCACGCACGCGCACTTCTTCGGGCGGAATCAATCGCACATCGAGTACCAGACTTGCGCCAGGTATTGAAACAACTGCAATAAAATAATAATAAGGTTTTTTTCAGCCATCCTCGGTAACAACTTGAGGTGGTTGGATTATTAGTGCGTGTCGCTTGCGCAACTGCAGAAAGCGGTCTGACTCGATACATGTATCATTCCTGCGTTCTTAAACCCGAATCCCTGATCGCTGTTGACTGTACCATAGCGCAGGAATACCGCACGTCTCATTTAAAAGTTCATAATTTAGCTTGTAATAAAAGAAAACAGGATCTGAAATAAATAATAATAAATCAAATTTATTTAAACTAAAATTTTCTGAAAACTTTGTATTAGTAAAACAGCTCTAGAAATTGGTGAACCATAGACCACATGAAAATGAAGGAATCATAGAACATCCCTTTTTTCAAATTGGTTAAAAATGTCATGCCATCATTTTCATACTCGTTTATATAAATCAATATTGAAAACCATTGCTATGCTGCTGACAGCTGGACGTTGCTGGAAGAGTCTCCCCGGTCGGGCATGGCGGTACTGGAGGTGGGCATACCCACGGGGTACATGATCCAGCAGCAGAAGCTGGACGCGTATGTGCTGTCCCGGCGTGTGCCCACATTGCAGCGTGCCAAGTTCCTGCCGGCCAAGATGCTCTTCTACTTCGACTATGTGCGTATACATTCTAGTTTTTTATACATCAAGTGACGGGACGAACAAATCGTGCGCCTGATGGCAAGCTACACGCCTGTCTATAACAGTTGCAGTGCTCTCAGAGCTTTAAATCGCAAAGATCTGAGGGGCACTGCCACTGCGCCCGTCACCCTGAGACATAAGCTGACAAGTCCCATGTGCCTGTAATTTCACCAGCACCCTTGCCCTTGAAAACCGGAACACAGTATTGCTGACATTACTGCTTGGCAACAGAAATAGGTAAGGTGGCAGTATTTCCCTGGACGAACTCTTTCACAAGGAGCTCTACTGCTTGCAATGTCATTGATACGGGAACAGGGTTACCGTCGGTCCGGATGTCTCCGGACATGTCTGGATTTTTTTTGTATCCGGATTTATCGGCTGAATAAAAAGTAAAATATTCCACTAAAGTAAAATACACACACAATTCTGTAGTAAAACTCGATTTACGACAAAAAACTGTGTTACCCGAACGCTTGTCCTGCGTGAGAGATTTTCGATTTTATTTTGTTACTGATAAAGGCTGAATGTGATTTGTCACTATGTATTTCCTATAGCGATTTTAAGTGTTCGATACCAGGTGACCTACATCATCGTTATTTACAACACTCAGTGGACGTAATTTTAAAATTGTTTTCATCACAACACGGAACAGAATTTCGGAATCAAAGTCCGTTCATGGTGAAGTCCATTCACAACATGGTTCTAGGGGAGATCGCGAGAAAGCGTTCTAGTTGTGGTTAGGACTCTTCTTGATGTCACAGTATTTTTTTATAACATCAAGTGACGGAAAGAACAAGTCGTGCGCCTGATGGTAAGCTACACGCCTGTCTATAACAGTTGCAGTGCCACTGAGCTTTAAATCGCAAAGATGAGAGAAAGAAAGAGGGGCACTGCCACTGCGCCTGTCACCCTGAGACGTAAGTTGACGGGGTGATATTAGATGCCAAGCTACATTTTAATATTCACATTGATAATATAATTGGTAGAGCTTATAAGCAACTTGGTATGATTCTTCGCCTTACTAGACCATTTAATAAAGCATTTACCTATAAACTTTTATATTATTCTTTCGTTCGATCACTTTTAGAATTTGCATGTGTCGTATGGAGCCCCCAATACACCGTTCATATTGCACGCATTGAAAAAGTTCAAAACAAATTTCTAAAATCATTAGACTACCGAACAGGGAATTTCTTTGTTGACTATGAAACTGCCGGTAAAAGGTATAATATAGATTCCCTAGGTAACAGACGTGTCTTCTTGGATGAAATTTTCCTATATAAAATAGTTAATGGTAATATAGACTCTGCTTCCTTACTACAATTGATTAATTTCTATGTTCCAAGAATCTCCTCACGTTCCAAAAAATCTTTTTATTGTTATCCATGTTCTACCAATTACGCCAGAAACTCATTTATTAGACGCTCGTGTAGGTATTATAACGACAACTTGATAGACGTCGATATGTTCTCTTTATCACTGGTAAAGTATAAGCGAAAAGTGGGAGATATTATATTTCACAGAGCACCTAATGCATAACCTTATATTGTTTAATTTCTTTTTTTTTTGTTGGATGTCATCTATACTGTTGTCCGTTGTACAAATTTTCTTATATTCGTAATTATTTAATGGAACAATCTGGTCTGTTTGTAATTTTAATGTTTTTTTATATGTAACATTTGTATAAGACTGTATGTTTTTCCTAAATAAAAAAAAAAAAAAAAAAAAAACAAGTCCCATGTGATTGTAATTTCGACAACACCCTTACCCTTCAAAACCGGAACACAGTGGAGCCGACACTACTGCTTGGCGGCAGAAATTGATAAGGTGGCAGTACTACCCTGGACGTACCCTTTCATAGGAAGCTCTACTGCTACTAAGTTATATATGAACTCATGTATGCGACAAACGCTATGACGACCAAAAATTAACAAAGTCGTAATTTGCAGTTGGACCAAGAACAAACGTGCGTAAACTTCACGATCGAGAGATGGTACCCCGTTGCCAACATGTCAAGGTACCTCGCGGTACGCGTCTACGACTATTATGCGCCTGGTAAGTTGTTTTACGTTGCCTAATGATATATTGCTTTCAATAGAAGTACTGTTGGAAGCGAACAAAGCTTTCAGTGTCCTCGCCACGCTGCCCCGATGACAGTTTTGGGTCTTCACACATTTTCCAAGGGTTAGAACACCCTTTCCTAGTAAAATCAAAAGCTGTGAGCACCGATTTTTATTATCTCCTCATTTAAGTCCCGTATATTGGCGAACTAGGGGATGAATCCGGGTTTGCTTTCCGGTAACCGATTTCAGTAAAACTTTGCAAATACAGGATGATGAAAAAAATCACTGACCATTTGTTTTCTTGTGCATAAGATTCAGTAATAGAACATATTAGTGAAAAACTGAGTCGTGTCATAACTTATTTATTTGTTAAGTATTTGAAATAAAAAACGAACCTGTATTTTTTTATTTGCATTACACAGTATGCTCCTTTAAAATCGTAGCCGTCGTTTTTTTATCACCCTGTACATGTACTTCCACGAACTTTTGAGGTCGGTTTTTTTTAGTACTCTGTACTGAGATTATGTCTATAAAAAACTTTAATAAATATATGTTATTCGTAATAGAGCGGTACAACGAGACAATATTCGACGCCCTGCCAACGTTCCTGCTGAACATCTGCGAGGTGTGCGGCTCGTCACAATGCCCCTACTGCGCAATCTACAACGCGGCGTTGCGATGCTCCGTCGCTTTACCCTTGCTTCTGGTAACGCTCGTTGTAACTCTAACACGGTTCTGGCGGCCATCATTACCTTTCTTCGTGATAACGTAGTATTGAAACAGGTTACGTTGTCTGCGTTCATTTGGTCTTTCATGTACGAATTTAACACTTATTTTATTACGGACAAATGATTGGTTATTTAGCATATCAGAATTCAACCTTTACGTACAAATTTAGTGCCTTCCAGGACGTATTCAGAATGCTAGACCTGTTCTAGTTTTAAGGCGTGCACGCATTATATGATTGCACAAGTGTGTACGTAACATTATTCAAAATGTGAACAGAGACACACTTGTTCGATTTTCGAGTTCAATAATGTGTGCATGGCTTTCAAATCAAACGCGGACAACGATTGTTCAATAAATGTTCAAAAATATCATTAATATCTTCTGTACCTTATTGTTTTTATTTTATTTTAATACACCTGTGTGTATATAATAGATGTTTTATATGTTTACGTTGAGCCCTATCTTCTCTCTCTCTATCTTTTTTATTAGCTCTAGTGATATTTTTGAATATTTATATTCAAAGTGATGTAATTGCTAGATAATATTGTAATATCATTGTGTGTGACAAAGACATATTTTGGTAATAAGTGTTGTGAATCACTTTTCTATTTAAGAATACATTAGGTAGTAATCGGCAAATATCAAAACGCAATTCACGTTGTAATTATTTCTTTTATTATTTGTTATTAACCACCGTTAGGTACTATTTTGCATTTGATGTTTCTCACTTAGGTTAAAATTGAATTAGTTTGATACCTCTGGAAGGATTATGAATTTTATAGCCACAGAACGAAAGCTGTATCACGTGTTGCCGTCCACATGACAATACTGAAATTTCAATTTAAAAAAAATGCATTCTGAACAAGATTAAGGACTATCCACACACATCGAGACCGTGCCCGGGACGTGGACGGGGCGTGCTAGCTTGTATGAACTGCGGGCTCGTCCCGGTGTCGGCCCGGATACGGCCATGTGTGAACGAGTTCATTCAAAATTTACGCAAGGATATTTTTTTAAGCCCCTGACGGAGCACGGCCCGGGCACGTCCCGGATATGCGTGGATAGACCTTTATCCTGCCTAGATTTGTTTTTATAAATAATGAACAATATGCAGTTTTCTAGCGCCTACCTTTTATTTACGTATTCTCAAACGGTGTAGCAAAAAAGAAATATTTGTCTAGATCAAAAGCTGTCTCCAGTAAAAGATCTAGAATCTTGTCGCCATATACACACTAAATCAAAGGCCATTTTATAAGCTTAAATGAATTGAATACTACAAAATAAAAACTAAATAATTTGTGAAGACTGCTTTCGAGTCATATAATTAAACAAGAGTTATTAATATCTGAACGTTTTCCAAAATGAATTTTCCACTTCTGTATTTCTTTTTCCATTCCAGTTAGTTGTAGTTTAAATATTGTGTTCTCTAGTGTAATAGACAACATCCAGTGTCCTTTATGTAAAGAATCATTTAATATGACGTTTATATACTATATAAAATCTGTATTATCTTTCTTTATTTTGTCGGTGCTTTCGTGGTCATGTTTTAATTTCACAACTAATTTAGTATATCGAATAATTTCAAACTATAGAAGAAACAATAGAAAATTAAACTAAGCATGAAATGCATCACTTGCCTTATTGTTGTAGACTTTAGTGGCAAAATGCATTGATATTTAGGTATTAGTGTAAATAACTCCTTTTTACTTGAGTACTGCTATGACGTGGACGATTTTCTATTATAATAAATAAAATCAAATTCTAAATCATGCAATAACAAAATGTACTTGGAATGCCTTATTTAGTAACAATATGAAATTTTATATAATAAAGAAATATATATCACATCTATTTGAGAAAATTTTATATACAATAAATGTGTATATTGGATTTTATTTAGATAGTATATAAGATTTTTTTTATACAAACACCACTATAAATCTTTATTTAATTTAATGCCACATTTTGTTTCTTTTATGTATGTAGTACAAAACGTTTCTACCGTCCTTGTGAAACTTAATGGACAGACCCTTGTATTTTTCAGGTTTATAGAAACAGTGAATCTCATTTGTAATTACATTATAAGCATATGTTACTTAAGTAGTTCTCCGTCCAAATTTACCAAATGACTGATTTTTTAACTTTTTTTTGTATTCGTGTGTATTCAATTACACAAAGCTTTTATATGTGTAAAGGAAGAGTGGTGAAATCTGGTTGACTCTTCATAGATTTATTTCCAAATAAAACCCTTGAAATTTTATATTACTTTTATTTAAACTTTTACACATCAGTGGCATTCTACGATAGCAAAATATCTCTATCGCGCCTTCTGAAGAAAACTGTTCTCATACAAGCCCAGTGTTGTTGGCACATAATATGAGCTCCGACACTAACACAGGTATTATATAACCTTGATATAATAAACTCGTTGTATCTTCTAAAATTTCGCGATTAGAACCTACTAATTCACGTTTTCTGGGTGCAATCAGATCCAAGCCGGGTGTTGTAGTTCTCGAGATCCCAAAACGGTGCCGCCGCGTCGGAATAAGCTTAATCCAGCGTGGACAGTAAAACACTCTAATAGCTAAAAACTGCGTAACGACTAAATTTATTTTTTTACGACTACACCCGACTAAATCATGACTTTAGTCTAATCAGATCCAAGGTATTGTTCTCCAGATTCAATAATGGTGCCGCCAGAATAAACTTATTCCAGCGTGGACAATGGATAAACAACTCTTAAAACTTTTGAACGGCGGACCGATTAAATCTAGTTTTTTACGAGTAGAACAGACTAAATCATGACTTTTTTAGTGTAATCAGATCCAAGGTAGGTGTTGTGGTTCTCGAGATTAAAAAATGGTGCTGCCGGAATAAGCTTATTCCAGCGTGGACATTAAAACACCCTTATAACTTCTGAACGGCGGACTGACTAATTCTAGGTTTTTGTGACTGGAATTGACTAAATCACGATTTTTTTTCGTGCAATCAGATCTCAGCTAGGTGCTGTGGTTCAGAAGTTTGCGAAATGGTGCCGCTGGAACAAGCTTATTCCAGAGTGGACAATAACATATCCTTTATAACTTCTGAACGGCGGACCGACTAAATCAATATAGCAATTTTGCGACCAGGACCGACCACATGGCGACTTTTTATCTGAATATTCAAATTTTAAAAATTCAACCATAGTCACGCTGAGTAAGATTGGTATGGGTAGACTATTTCTTTAAACATAAAGTAATGTGCGTTGAGCATACCCTCTCTTTCATATCCGGAAATGATTAAAATTAAAAGCAAAAAATCAAAACAAAATAGTTATATTTTTATTTCAATTAAGTACATAATTTTACTTGTAAATACCCAAGTAAAATAACTATTGGTTACACATTAAAAATAACAACAAAATAAAAATTCAACAATTTTAATTACTTCCGTGAAGTTTAAGTAAAGTTATTTATTTTGCATAAGCCTATTGTGTTCCACTGCTGAGCAAGGGCCACCAGATCCAATGGAGAAGGAAGGGTCTTTGTCCATTGGTTCTGGTTTTGTGCTGCATCTAGCCAGTCCTTTAAAATTGAATCCAAATCATGCCACCATTGCTGACGAGCTCTGCCATGTCTCCGTTTTGAGCTGTAGGATTTCCACTCCATGGTTATCCCCACAACTCACCCAGTATATAGCAAATGTGTCCAGCCCAGTTCCATTTCAACTTGGCAGCCTTCCAGTGTGTTGTTTCAAAAACATTGCATTCACTTCATAGTTTGCACCTAGTATGCTGCACTCCATAGACCACTGGCAAGCCCCGAGTTTGAATTTCTAGGTTTTTGTCACAGACCAGATAAATGTATGATATCTACCCTGATCTACATTAACATGATAAATAATTAACTATTTTGGTTTAGGTCACTATTATTGAATAGCAGTGACTTGTCTAACTTCAAGCTAAGTGAGAGACGATACTGTAGTCAGACATGAAGCATTTGAGATGTCTGCACTTCGTAAGCCAATGTTCCATTCTGATAAGTATATAGTACCAATTTCAAGGCAAACATATGCCCTAGACAGGTTTGGAAACTAAGAAAACTATCTCTTTTTATTCGATGTCATTCTGGTATAACAGAAAAAAATGCAGTAGACTAACCATTTCCTACAAGGATACAATTAAAATTAGGAAAGAGATATATGTAGTAGAACAATTTATTGTTAAGACAACTATACCTATACAGTAATTGATTATAAATAATTAGTCAATACTATCTAATTTCATATCACAACACTACTTCTTTTTGATTTGTTTTGTCTTGGATGATGATGGTTTAGCGGCGGCGCCCCCACTAAACAGATTGGTGATCATTTCTGACATCTCCGGCATCTCTCCCATTCGAGTCAAATTGTGTATTTGTTTCAAGTCTTCTTTGGTCTCTGGGTCATTCATCATCTTTGGCAAAATCATGATAAGCAACAAAGGCAACACCATCATAATCACCATAGGGTTAAACAAGAAGTCAGTCAGCCTCCATTGTTCACGAATTTGGAAATATCGGAACTTGGACAGTGGTTTCATTCGCAGAGGATAAGGTACCTGAATAATCTGTGAGGTCTGTATATAGTTGACTTTTCTAGCTCTAAATTTTCCTTTAGAGTTAATTTCCACTCTCACAGGCTCGTACATGTAGTCTGGATGTACTATCTCGACTACGTATGAACCCGAAGGAACATTGTGAACGACAAATGTGTCGTCATTCCTAATAAAAGCCACATATTCCCCGCCGTTAACGTGGACCCTTGTCTCGGCTTGCCACTGGGTCTCTACCAGTTCCTCGGGAGGAAAAACGCGGCCCTCAATCGTGTATCTTCCATTCCCAACATCTTCCTCAACAGGATTTACTGACCAAACTGTGTTACCAAAAAGACTTAAGGAGACGATAAAAACAAGATTTACTATGTTCAACATTATGTCTATATTCTCACTGTAGTAATTTGCGATATCTCAATGCGAATTATTTTTTATTTTATTAAATTTTAATACCAACAATACAATCAACTATTCCGTCTAGAATTACTTTGACAATGACAGTCATGGCGTTTTTTTTTAGTCAAATTTATCATAGACAAATAATAAAATTAAAGGCTACATTCACGATTATGAACAGACATTTTGACATAAAATGTCGGTATTTTGAGTTGATAAGTCGGCTCGGCTCGTTATTTTATTATTTACTTAAAATGCGTATCATTGTGCATTGGTTATAGGTTAGCGTTCTGGACAATAAATAAATAATAAAGAATTAAGGAACTCAAAACGTAATGTACGTAGTTCTTCTTCATAATAATTTAGCTTGTGTATAGTCCCACTGCTGACCACGGGCATCCTCTCATGATAAGAGGTCTTGGGCTGTTGTTCCCACGCGGGCCCAATGCGGATTGAGAACTTTACACACTGATTTGCAAGTGTGTGCCGATTTCTTCACTTTGTTTTTAAAGGTATTTATGTACGTACGTACAAGAGCACGTCAAGCTTAACACTTTGAACTTTGGACCGTTCTTATCGTACGCGGCATAGAGTTGGATTTAAATCTAAAATGTTAAGGTTGACGTGTTCTTGACCCTGTACAAGCCCAAATTCGAGCCCAGGACTCTTGAGATGCGGGAGGTTATTAATTGCAACCAAGTTGCAAGCAACCAATAAACTAGTTTTTCTTTTGTCCCGGCCTAGTGTTCATACGTATAGCCAGTATTCAACGGCCGGTATATTGTATTCATTATAACATCTCAAGTCGTTTTTTCCATCCTTGCTTAAAGGTGACCAAATTGATTTTGGCGAAAGGAAAATATTATTTATTGCGTGACAAATTCAAGCTATAATATCTATTTTCATGAGATTTTCCTAATATTTTGCACTTTTCGGCGCTATAGAGAACTATCTATTTTTATGATTATTATTCATAGTAAATTAAATACACACATCAACACTGTTTAAGGATATTTCACGTTTATTAGAATAACTGAGGGTCGTATTCTAGAACTCTACATAATGCTCAAGTCAGGATTGCACTGGAAACACAAGCACTGGAAATACGACCCTAATGCCAGGGACTTGAGTATGATTTCGAGTGATTTAAACCATACTCAAATCCTGACTTGAGCATTGAGTAGAGTTCTATAATACGACCTCAGAGTCGTGTTCCAGAACTCTTCTCAATACTCAAGTCAGGACTTGAGTATTGCAGTGAGCACTGAAAATCATACTCAAGTCCTTGCCATTAGAGTCGTATTTCAAGCACTGGAAATACGACCCTAATGGCAAGAACTTCGAGTATGATTTCTAGTGCTTTGAATCATACTCAAGTCCCGACTTGAGCATTGAGTAGAGTTCTAAAATACGAGCCTAAAAGTACTGATGATCATATCAAAAAGATTTAAACGTTAATTTGTTCCTGGCACATTTTTTCTGTATTCTAAATTCAAATTCAAAACAAAAGAACGACTGATGCGATTGTATTTTGTGAATTTTGTTACGATAGTTTGTTTTCCTCTGTGTGTCTAAAAGATGAAATATTTTTTTTCACAAATTTATTAACTGCATTATTACTGGTGGTTGTTTCTATACTGTGGAACGCCGACATTTAAGTAAAGAAGAGATGTTGAGAGCCGTAGGCATGCTAGAATGCGGCGTGATCCAGTGCAATGTTGCTGATACCATTGGCACCAGTCAAAGCGTCATGTCAAGATTATGGTCTCGCTACCGAGACACTGGCGATGCGGTTGTGCCGCACACAGGGAATAGTCGGGTGACTACCACAAGACAAGACCGATTTCTACAAGTTATAGCAAAGACACAACGTAAATTACGGCTAGGCAATTGGTTTTAAAGCTTCAATCGGAACACCAGGTCCTAGTGAGCGACCAAACTGTGAGGAGGAGACTGCACGAAGTCAACCTACATGCTTGTAGACCACTTCGGGTTCCAGCACTACGACGAGGCAATCGCGGTCGAAGATTACTATGGGCAAATGAACATTTGGCTTGGAACAATCGACAATGGTCTAGGGTGTTATTCTCGGATGTATCTCGGTTCGACTTTCATCCAGATACACGAAGAATACGCGTTTGGCGAACACTTGGACGTATTACGAGTCGCCTGCAAAATCCCCAAGAAGTCCATCCATATCAAGGTGGAACAATTATGGTATGGGCAGGAATACGCCTAGGAGAGAGAACTGACCTCATTTGCGGGCAGGGCAATTTAACTGCCGCAAAATGTCGTAATGAGGTGCTAGAACTTGTAGTCCGACCACATCGGTTGCAAATGGATCAGGACTTTATGCCTATGCATGATAATGCTCGCCCTCACACAGCTCGAATATTATGTCAATGGCTGCAGCAACATAATGTTAAGACATTGGACTGGCCCGCCCAGCCCCAGGATTTAAATCCGAATGAGCACGCGTGTGACGTGCTTCAATGAAGGGATTTACAAAATCAACATTTTATGCATCTTCGTCAAACCTGGGACCTTATCTCACAAGGAGATATTGATAGCCTCATTTTGGGTATGCACAATTGTTGCAGACGCGTTATAAACATCCGAGGTGCTTTTCAGATTATTAAATTTTATTTCGTAACACATTAATTGTTTCAAATAATATTGTTTTTCTCTGTAATAACCAAAAAGAGCAGTTTTTATTTTAGGACAAAGTTAACTTTTTCTATTTTTACCATAAACGTCATTAAAAATAAATGTAAAAAGGTTTTTTTATTAAATTTTCTGTCAGATTATAAAATACTGCGCATTTTGATATAAGAACGTTTTAAGAACTTTTTGTAGTTTCTTTGCAATCCGTGAAAAACTAAAATATCCCTAGACAGTTTTGACGTGTGTATTAACACGTTTGCACAGATATTTTGTCTGGCAACCGGTGTCTCAGCATAATAAAATTTCACACTGGAAGATGTCTGTGCAATTAGTGTAATAAAATTACATGCAGCAACCTGGTTAATTAAATTTTACGCTAATTAAACGTTTTTAATTATATCCGTTAATCCCATTACAAAATTAATTAAATTACATAAATATTAATTATTCATAAGTAATAAACATTTACAATAAAAATACTTCTAGATTTTTCTCAAGAAAAAGTCCCATATTTGTTACTTAAGTGTTGTTGAGCACTATGATACGTTGGTACTACTTTTGTGGGCTTCTAAGTTTGGTATGGTGCCACGTGAAGCATCATTCGAAAGGAGAGGTTTGGCCCAAACCTCGTTATACTTTGAAGAAAGCAACTTTCTTTACATTTTCTCCGAGTGAATTTCAATTCTCGGTAAGAAATTTCTTGAATCGATTCAAATTTGGGTTTGCATGTTCTGAAATTTGACTACATACACAAAAATAAAACTGCAAGTTCCAATTTTCTTTATCGTAGTCACGTATGTAATAAAATTATTAAAAAGTTCCTTTTCAATTTATGCTTTATATTTAACTTTTTAATTTAAATTTAACTGCCTCAGTGGCCGAACGATTACCCGGTCGATTCCCGAGTCAGGAGAAATATTTATATTGCCTACATTTATTTATCTCGTGAGTTTCGGTTTAACGTTGTGGTTGTCTATGTGTGTGTCCATGGCACCCGCGATACAGGGTTTCCCCAGTGCGGGGCTATGAGTTTGTGCGTTATTTAATATAATCTCATCTCATATCTTTATACAAATACCTGCCGATTAACTAAGGTTTGTAGACTCCGGTGCTGGGGGTCTACTCTAGATCTCCGTCCGAAACAATTACTGCCAAATAAGCAATACTTGACCAAATGAAAAGACGCGTGATGCGAATGAAGCTTCCTACTTGATACTTGTCTTTTAATTTTGTCGAATTTACTTATTTGACAGTAATTGTTTCGGACGGATGTCGGACGGAAATCGTGAGTACACCACCTACACCGCTTCCTGGGGCTAAAAACCTGTTGGTTTGTAACCTGGTATCCATTCGTAAGAACATTAGACGCACATTTTGGTTGTTTCCGTGTGATTGAGCTTGCTAGATCATCGTCATATCGTCATGATCATTTTAGAAAGAAATATATATACTTCCTAGCTTGATCACAATTTGAATGGCGAAAACTTGGTAATGAACCTCAGACAGTTTTTTCACTGTTCTGTCTGACCACAATACATGAAAATTACTTGTACGCACAATTTTAATTGTGACTTTATGCCACAGAGCCAATGTGTCCGGACCGAAAGTATCACAATTTTTATACTTTTTTTTTATTGGATAAGGTACAGCAACAGATTACAGATCATAATTTACAACAGACAAAAACTATTCTACATGAATGGTTATAAACCTGCAACCCAATTATAGCTATACACAACACTTTAGTATATATAATAAACAGTAGCACCTAAGAATTAACTAAATATATATATATATAACAAATAAACAGCACCATTAAGAGATATTACAAAAAAGAATGAAAAAGTTACGTAACAAAATTAAGGTGGTACATTGGAATGTAGAGACTTTCTAAAAACTATGTAACCACTACTATAAAGATCATTATTAGCACAGATGTCATTATAATATCTACACATTCTGTATATCGGATTATTACTCGAGACTTTATTAACAGAGTGTGGAATACGGAATAATTGGGGTATACGCACAGAACGAGTTGGCACCTTCATATATATATCATCTGGAGTAAGGTAGCATCTGCACAACCGTTAGCAATCTTGTGAAACATGCATAAATCAGATATTTGTCGTCTTTTTTCAAGACTAATCATGCCAAATTTAGTCAGACGATCGCTGTAGGTTGGTATTTTCTACTTTACTACTATATTTTCTATTTTACTTGAAAAAATAGATTAGAGAAACATCATACATACTTTAGGATTTTTAAAAGATCCTTACTCTTGATATTGCAGATAATAAACCGAAATTGCTTAATTCTTGAGAATGCTGTAACCAGATACAAGGCGGTTCTGAACGATTTTTACAAGATATCCCAAAGGGAACTAAAGAAACGCGAGAGTTGGAGTCAGAAGAAAGACATTAAGTTCATGTTTCGACGGTACCGTGTTGAGAAAGTTGCCAGAGAGGAGAATCGCAAACGCTACCAAGGCATTATACAGGGACTAAAAATAAATTTAACTCAACCATGCGATGAATATCCCAACTTCGGCATGAACGAAAATTGTATGGAACATTAATTTTAAACATACCTATTTATGCTACTCATAATCGTATACTACATTAAGCTATTCTTTCCGCCAGATACTCTTTCAGTCTCAAAAACGGCTATTCTATATAGTGACTCGTTGTGGGGAATTGTTAGAGGAATGGAAACTTTCTCACAGCTCTTTTACTTGTCGACAAATTTTGAGGTGAGTAGATTTCTCCTACCAACACATAAATGTGAATAATTATAATTATTGTAATTTAATAAATAATGTGGAAGCGCTGCGCTTCCACGCTACTCCGTGTGCGTGCAGCAACACCAATTTGAACACAGTCGCACTCAGGTATGTGCCCAGTAATTGAACATTGGCTGGGTCAACATAAACATTAAATTAAATTAAAATGGATTACTAACACTAGTTACATAAGAAATTATGATTGTATACCATTGACTTACAATTATATGGACGTCGGGTCCGCGCTAAAAAGTGTCCGAACTTATAGGGCGTTAAAATCGTATACAGAGCGTCATTCGCGCTTTAGTCTTCGTTTGTTCGACTGACAGCGAAACAAGCAAAATTAGACAGTACTGCGATGACATTACAATTTAAATTCAACGTTTTAGCTTTTTCATATTCCTTTACATGTCACTACGTTTAAATAGGTTGACTTAGGACATATTTTTTCGTGGTTTTTGTATTAGACCCGTCGTCCATTTATTTGTAAGTCAATGTTGTATACTGACTAAATATGGATTATTTTTATCCGATATAAATTATATTATTATTATTATACATTCTACAGGAAGTCCGAATAAACACGACGGAGATAGAAGATTACCCACGTTATGCACACCGAGGCTTGATGTTGGATACGGCGCGACATTTTATTTCGGTCGACAATATTTTAAAGACTCTAGATGCAATGGCTATGAACAAAATGAATGTCTTCCACTGGCACATCGTTGACGACGAAAGCTTTCCGTTCGAGAGCCAAAGAATTCCTGAACTTAGGTTTTGTATTTAATGTTATTTCCGACTAGTTTATTTTTTTTAATTAGGCAGACGAATGGTGTACCCAAAAATTAATGGGTATAAAAAAGTCAGTTACAAAGTAGGTATACCTAGAAACACACGAGCGTTTGAGAAAATATGGTTGCAAAAGAGAGCAAAATAGGTAAGTATGTTAGGATCGCAAGACGAGGTCTCTATTATGTTACCCCACTGGGAAACAAGGTAAAGTTATGCGTGGTATATACGAAGAGAATTAGTGCTTTTTCGGTTGAGAATATCTGTAATTACTAAACCTAGAACTTTCTGTGTTGTATGTACTGTCTCGATAACTTATTAAGACAGATATAAAATTATTAAGACAGGACAGACATTACCTTTTTTACAAAAAAAAAATTATAATTTTCCCCATACCGACGCCACTATAGTGTAAGATAATTATTACGGTATTAAGAGACTCCCCACACTAGCGTCTTTCGAGCGTCAGCGTCTAGCCAATGCACGCACAGCGTCGACACGACTTCCGCGCGGCGGCGATGCGACGTAGTATCCCTAACTAATTTGTTGACGCAACGCCAGCACTGAGCGATATACGCTCGGATATAATATGCTGTGCTGGCATCGAGTCGCGGCCGCGCGGACGTCCGTCGTGTCGACGCTGTGCGACAGTTGGTAAGACGCTGCTGCTCGAAAGACGCTAGTGTGGGGGGTCTCTTAGACTTGTTGTTATTTAACTCGAGTACCCACACTTAGTGGATGCGTCAAAAAGTTTCGGGACAGACAAACATGACTACATTATTTTTTGCAGTGAACTCGGTGCTTTTCATAATTCTATGGTGTACACCAAATTCGATATCATGAACGTTATCGAATACGCAAGGCAGCGAGGAATTCGGGTCATCCCTGAATTCGATGTTCCAGGTACATAGTTTATGATATAAGCGTCTTGTATTGTTACTGAGAGGTTAGGATCTAGTTTAACGAACACTGCTGAAGTCGTGTTACCTACTTAGGCAGTTGCATGAAAACACATTACTTACTGCAGGTTATTACATCAGATGTTATTATTCGTTTGGTCTGTAGTGCTGAATGTACAGTAATAATTTGAAACAGGACACACAACTTCGTGGGGAGTGGCGTATCCATATGTGCTTACAAAATGTTACGGAATTTTCTTGGGCCCCATGAATCCGATTAAAAACAATACCTACAAATTAATAAACAACTTATTCCAAGAAGTTCAGGAATGGTTCCCCGAAAAATATTTCCACATCGGAGGTAACGGAGTCGACTTAAAATGTTGGTAAGTTCTCAAGTTCAGCCATAATTGTAAATACATAAAAGTTACAAAATTGAAATGACCGACTTCTATAATACATATTAAAAGATGTTGAGTTTCTTTTCAAACAAGTGTAATTTTAATTAAATTTTTATTGAATTGATATTCAATTATTTTTTGTGAAACTACTCCACTAGTTTGTTATAATTATTAATACAAA